GATATCCTGGAAATCCAAGAAACAACCTACCATTTCCAAGTCTTCCTCCGAAGCTGAGTACAGGGCCTTGGCAGCCACAACATGTTAGCAGAATTTGGAGTAAAGTTGGCTGATCCTGTGGCTATATATTGTGATAGCAAATCCGCAATTGCTATTGCAGAGAACCTTATCTTCCATGAACGCACTAAACATATAGAGTTGGACTGCCACCTGGTTCGAGAGAAACTCAACAATGGCCTGATCAAGCTATTTCATGTTTCATCTGAACATCAACTTGCAGATGTCTTTACAAAGACTCATTGCCTTAGCACTTTTACCACTTATGTTTCCAAGCTTGGATTACTCAACTTGTACAATCCAGCTTGAGGGGGGCTTTCAGATGATGATAGATGATGTTGTTAGATGAAGCCACGTGTCACCATCTCAATCACTTTGGTGGTTATTTTTCGGTTATTCTTACTGTTCCTTTCCCTCATTTTCCAGTTGTTCACATGGCCTTGTATATAAGCCAGTGTAATGAGGTTGTTAAGACTTAATGAAATAATTCTGTTCTTCTTCTCTTCTGCTTTCGATCATCCTCTAATTTGCAACATGTAATACAAATCGCTGATCAAACAATCTCACATAGGTCTTAGTGTAGCTTATCTTTCATAATGGGGTGTACACGGTTCACACTCCACTACAAATTGGAGTTGTAACTATTTTGCAAATTGAAAGAATTAGTTAAATCACTAATTTAATTTATTTTTTCGATATTTCACAGCTTAACTTTTTTATTTATTTATTTTATTTTTAAAGTACATTTGAGAAATGGAAGATTAACCTTAACTTTTGGATTAATTACAAATTTACAACCAAAGATTTATGTATTAGGTTACACAAGTAATAATATAAAATAGAGGTTATTATCTATAAGAAATTTCCTTGGAGTTTGGCCAGCATATGGAGGAATTTTCCTATATGGACTTTGAAAAGTTGAAGTCATCCAACTCTGTAAAGTTTAAATCTTTATAATAACTTTTAGGCTTTTAGAGGACTTGACAACTTGAGCACCAGTCCCACTGTAAAGTGGCAAAATAGTGAATTTTGTCAGTGGTAACAACTCCAGTTATATTTATTTTTATTAGGGAAAAGTATCAAATTGGCCCCCTAAGTCAAGTGGATAGTGTAATTGGGTCCCTTAAGTGAAAAAAGCTCCATTTAAGTCCCTTAAACCGGTAAAATTGTTCAATTAAGTCCAATATGACTTGTTTATCAGGTTAAATCGATATGGTGTTGACACGTGTACTTCTTATTTTATTTTTTAAAACAAATGTTTTTTATTTATTAAAAATTAAAAATATTATTTATTATAAACTAATTAATAATAATAATAATAATAATAATAATAATAATAATAATAATAATAATAATAATAATAATTACAAATTAAAAAAAAAATTAAAAAAAAAAAAAGCCACCGGCTGTCTGCACTGGACAACTAGTGGCTATCTTCCTTCTTCATGGTCGTCTAAGGAAGGCGGCCATGGCCTGGCCGTCTTCCTTAGACGGCCGTGTGGCCACGGCTGTCCGTGAAAAAAGAAGACAACCAACGACTGTCCGGCGCGTACAGCCGGTGGCTGTTTTTTTTTTTTTTTTTTTAATTTTTTTTTAATTTTTAAAATATTATTATTTTTTAAATTAATTAATAAAAAATAATATTTTTAATAAATAAAAAGTATTTATTTTTAAAAATAAAATAAAAAAGACACGTGTCAACACCATATCGATTTAACCTGTTAAACAAGTCATATTGGACTTAATTGAACAATTTTACAGGTTTAGGGGACTTGAATTGACTTTTTTCACTTTGGGGACCCAATTGCACTATCCACTTGACTTAGGGGGCCAATTTGACACTTTTCCCTTTTTATTATTATAAGAAATTTAGTTTTTAACTAATGAGACAGTTTGAAAGAAAATTGATATTTTTTTTTGAATTATATGTTTATAGTATTTTTTTTTCCTGAATTATTCAATATACATATTAGCTCTCTCAATTATTTTAAAAGTGATGATTTTTTACATTTTTGTTAAATATACATTTTTACTCTTAGGCTCTGTTTGGCAAACCTAGCTGAAAAGCTATAAGTTCGGAGCTGAAAGCTGAAAAGGAGCTGAAAGCTAAAAAGCTATAAGCTAGGAGCTGAAAACTGAGGAGCTGTTAAGCTAGCTGTTATAATTGAAAGTGTTTGGTAAAATTAGCTTTTTGATAAGCTGATAAATGTAAAAAGACTAAAATTGACATCTTCAGAAAATTTAAAGTAGATTGTTTACATATTAAAATTGAACATTTTGTCTTCAAACAAAATTTAACATTTTGAAATAAAACTATTAGCATAATCATGATCTAGCATCCCACAATGAAGTAGTAATATTGTTGCGAATCTCCTTCATCCCATAATAATAATAATAATAATAATAATAATAATAATAATAATAATAATAATAATAATAATAATTGCGGTGAAAGTTGATAAAGGAGAAGAGAAAATGATTTTAATTAGAAAGGGTAAAAGAAGTTATTTCTTTAAAATAATAAGGACAAAGATGAAAAAAAAAAGTTAGGAAGCTAGGAGCTTATTTTGAAACGCTACTTAAGGTAGCGTTCCAAAATAAGCTCTTATTTTAAGCTAAGAGCTTATTTTGAGAACATTACCAAACAGAGCTTATAGCTTATTAGTAACTTAAAATAAGCTATAAGCTCTGCCAAACAGAGCCTTAATATGTCTCCTAAAAGATTTCTGCATGATGTACCAACTTGTTAGAATTCTACCTTTAATTTGCTATGTAGTACTATTCAATAATACAAAGAGTTGTTATGTTTTTTTGTTTTTGTTTTTTTTTTTGTTTTGTTTTTGTTTTGAATAATAATTAATAATGAAATTCATTTATTTCCGTAGCATTGAGATGCATGTAACAAAATTTGTGAATATTAAAAGAGTTCAATGATGCTACTTTGACTTTGTCTGGCGTATATTATCCCACAACACATTTATTTTTAATTTATATTGTAGATATTGTTGGTAAACTTCGTCAATTCCGTTGATGATCCTATATTGTTTAATGCTATTTTATGTATTAAATAAAAAATTCTTTAAATATTGTAGAACTACTCCTTTAATTACCAAGACTATGTGGTCTAATGGTACCCGGGTTGGACTTTCATTTAGAAGGTTATGAGTTCGAGCCTCGGTGGAGGAGTTATTGGTTCTTTGTGTTTCAGTAAGTTGTGAACAGATACTACAATGTAATAGGGCCAGTAAAAAAAAAAAAAAAAAAAAACTCCTTTAATTTATTTAATTGCAATGTGTTTTTATCCTCGCTACAAATTTAGTAGGTTTAAATGTGTTTTTACACAATTATTATGAATGTTTAGAATTAGTTGATCCTATGGACCCGGATTATGTTAATATTAATTCTGTACATAATGAAATAACAAATTTATTTTATCATTTGTGTGAAGAGTATTTACAACCTTATGGTTCTTCCTTGAATATTAGTATGTCTTTCCGGAGTAGTTCACAAAGCTCGCAATCATCTCAACAAGACAAGGCTTTAACCTATTAGCTAGATCGGGTAAAAGTCGTTGGACAAGCGGGACATGTTCATTGTCATCTGTAGCATTATTCACGGCAAAAAATTATTTAAATACTGATTTTGTATTTTTGGATAATGATGGTGATCTTAATGTTTTGCAATAATTGTGAAAATACCATCAAAAAAATAATTTTCTTATTTTACCTATTATTGCAAAAAAAAAAATTTGAAACTCTTACTCAGTGTTGCAAAAATCACGCCTAGGCGCTAGGCGGCCGGCCACCTAGACGTCCGCCTAGGTGCTCTAGGCGCCGATTAATCGCTCTAGGCGCTCTAGGTGGTCCCCAGGCGCCTAGCGAATTTTTCAACCTTGCTCTTACTTCTACTGTGGTAGTAGAATAGGGATTTAGTGCAGGTGGAACCGGCGGTAACATATGTTTATATTTTTTTCTTGATGGAATCAAAATAACACCACAATACATGCAATATAGTTTATGTATTTATCTAGTTGTTCTCGTAAATGAGTTAATGTATTTATCTAGTTATTGTGTTGTTGAGATAATGTTAAAATTTATAGAATTTCAATAAGAAATGCAAGTGGGACTTTAGTTTTTTAGAAACGTAGGATAAGTGTGATTTGCATTTGTCTGTGATGAGAAAGATAAGGCAAGTTACACTTGCTTTTCATGCATAAAGTACCGCGGTTAGTTAACACTCCACTTTTTTTTTTTTTTTTTTTTTTTTTTTTTTTTTTTTTCACAAACGCAAGTACGACTTGAGTTTCTTAAATATGATGCGAAATATAAAAAATGCAAGTCGTATTTCACATGAAATTTTTTTCATTAATTTAAGAATTCTCATTGGGATTTGCATTTTTTTTTTTTAAATCACAAATGCAAGGGTCAATGGGTTTTTTTTTTCTTCTAAATTTGTAAAATTTTTTAAAATGTCTATTTTTACCACTCCTCTCATTTTTTTCCCATTTCAGTCATTAACTCATAGTTTACTACCAAACTACTAGCAAATCAAGACACAAGATAGTGTACTCAGATCAATTTCAACTGTGGCTTCTTCTTTACTAAGTTACACATACATAGTTGATTGGTTCAAATTAAGAAATCCAATAGATCTTTTAAGATTCGAACTTGTAATATTTTGTTATCAAGTCAACAATCTAATTAAAGTGTCTGAATTGTCCCAATCAATAATATTAGTGCGATTAGTGGCAAACAGGTGGAGTCTAGCTAAAGGAGGTAACATATCACATATTCACATTGATGCTACTGCTACGTACAAGAATTTTCCTTTGAGTTTCGCTTTGTTTGGATGCAACTTTCCTATCTTGACTTTCGGTGGTCTACTACACCCAAGCTCTTTAAATATATAGTTACTACATACCAAGCTGCTAGCAAATCATCAATACAGAAGATAGTGTACTCAGATCAATTTCAATAATTATGGCTTCTTCATCATCATCTGCTGATTGGTCGTACCATGTTTTCTTGAGTTTCAGAGGAGACACGCGAAAATCCTTTACTGATCATCTTTATACAAATTTGTGTCAAGCTGGAATTAACACTTTTCGAGATGATGAAGGAATCCGAAAAGGTGAAAGCATCTCTGATGAGCTATTGAAGGCCATCGAAGGGTCCAAGATATCAATCATCATACTCTCTAAAAATTATGCTCGATCTAGATGGTGTCTCGACGAATTGGTGAAGATCCTAGAATGTAAACAGAATCTAGGACAAATAGTTTTTCCTATATTCTATGACGTTGATCCTTCAGAGGTTCGCAAACAAACAGGCCAGTTTGGTGATGCATTGATTCAACATAGAGAACGATTTGGGAATCAAAGAGTTAATGAGTGGAAAACTGCACTCACTACCGTCGCTAATTTATCAGGATGGGATTTGCAAATTTTGGCAAACGGGTAATCTTTTTTTAAATTTCATTTTATTTTATGTGTGGTCAATAATTTTTGCTAATTAAAATTTGCCTTCTAGCATCTATACAATCTTTACCAATAGATTCAAAATTTTGGTAAAACAAGAAGAATCTACATCATGCATTTTAATTAATTTTTTTATTTTTCAATTTATTTGTCATAAATATTAATTCTTTAAGAAATTATAATTATGGATTGATTATATCAGTTTATAAAAATATTTTTTAAAAAAATATTGTAAGGTTGTCTCAAGCATTGGAATCATGAGTCATGAGAGACTAAAACCACATACTTCTTATAAGTTATAACTGAACTAGAGTTCTGTGTCATATGTTCTATGTGATTTCTTAGTTTTGTGTTTTGTGCCTATATTTCTTTAATAATTTAGATTGACATTCATTTGAAAAATATAATATGATAGGTATGAGTCAAAGTTCATCAAAAAAATTACTGAAGAGGTAGTACGAGAAGTGAATCGTACATACATAAATGTTGCAAGGTATCCTGTTGGAATTGATTCTCGTGTTAGAGATATACTTCTTTTATTGCAAACTCAAACAAATCATGACGTTAAGATGATTGGAATTTTTGGCATGGGTGGTGTGGGAAAAACTACTCTTGCTAAAGCCACATACAACTTGAGTTTTCAAAGGTTTGAAGGTTGTTGTTTTATTGCAAACATTAGATCACAAGTTTCTGAGGGGCACAATGGTTTAGCCCGTTTACAAGAGAAAATTCTTTGCAAGACTCTCAATAGAAAGAAACTTGAAATAGATAATGTTGACGAAGGAATAAGTTTGATCAAAGAAAGATTGCGATCAAAAAGGGTTCTTGTTGTCCTCGATGACATAGATGATACTAGTCAACTAGAATCATTAGCTGGACAACGGAATTGGTTCGGTTCTGGCAGCACGATTATAATAACAACTAGAGATGGTCATTTGTTAAGTGACCTTAGAGCACACGAGAAGTACAATGTAGAAACGTTAAGCTCTTTAGAATCTTTAGAACTCTTGAGTTGGCATGCTTTTGGTGTTCCTATACCATCAGAGGAGTATATTGAAATATCCAAAAGGATAGCAAGCTATACTGTTGGACTTCCATTAGCACTTACAATTATAGGTTCTCATTTGCGTGGAAGATCCGTGCAAGAGTGGAGCGATAATGCTGAGAAATTAAGAAGAATACCCCATGATAAAGTTCAAAATATTCTTAAAATAAGCTACGATGCACTTGATGATGATACTAAGAACATCTTTCTTGATATTGCTTGTTTTTTCATTGGACATGACAAAAACGACACTTCTACAATATTGGAAGCTTGTGGTTTTTATGCTGAAATTGGAATAAAAACATTGATAGAAAGATGCTTGTTAACAATAGATGGGGGCAGAGTATTTGAAATGCATGACTTAGTAAGGGATATGGGAAGAGAACTTGTTCGAAAGGAATCGCCCCTAGAGCCTGGCAAACGGAGTAGATTGTTCGACCAAAAGGATGTATTTGATGTCATTCGAGGCAACAAGGTAAAAAATTTCCTTTGTACTTGAGTTATTCTACTTAATTGATTTCCTTGAAATATTTAGTTTTATTAAAATAAAATTTTTTAGAATATCCAAAATATTATATTGTTACATAAATGGTTTTTTTTTTTTTTTTAATTAGGGAACAGAAGCAATTAAAGGGGTGATTGCAAATTCTAACATGTTAAAGAATGTGGCTTTCAGTACCAAGATATTCAGAAAGATGGAAAATTTACGAATACTCATATTGAATGGTGTGTGTCTCGAAGGATCCTTCAAATATTTTCCCAATGAGATTACATTTTGTAGGTTGCACAATTGTCAATTACTGAGTCCCGTACAAACTGATTTTCGCATTGACAAACTTGTTGTCTTTGACTTCCAAGGTAGCAATATCAAAGAATTTCGACCCAATATGCAGGTTTGTGCGTCTAATGCTTCTTTTAATATTACTTATTTTTAAAATCGTAACTCTAACTAGAAAAATAGAAATTGACCAATACCCTCTACTTTGTTTCAACAGCACTTTAGATGCTTGAAAATCTTAAAGTTTGATGGTTGTGAACAACTCAAGGAAACACCAAACTTTACTGGAGCACAAAGTCTTCAGAAAGTATCCTTTATAAGTTGTTCAAATTTGGTCATGGTGCACCGGTCAATAGGAAGTTTGGACAAACTTGTTGAGTTATATTTCTGGGATTGCGAGAAACTTAAGGAGCTTCCAAGTAGTATTTGCAAGTTAAAATCACTTGAGATTTTATTTGTACAAACTTGTAGAAAACTCAAAGAGCTTCCAATTGACTTGGGAAAATTAGAACAACTAAGAGATTTAACTGTTGCCACAACTGCCATCTCACATATACCCTTTTCTTTGGGTTGTTTGAGGAATCTAAAGTTCCTAACCCTTGAAGGTAATAAGGGTTTTGTACCATCAAAATCAAAATCTCAACTTCATGGCATCTTATCACCTCATTTGTGGTCAAGAAGAACCCTTGATCCTGTTACCTTTTTTCCACCTTCAGTTGCAAATTTATGTTCATTGAAACGTCTGGATATCTCTCTGAACTATCTGCATGAAGTAGATCTTCCTGTTGCTATTGGGAATATGTCATCATTGAACAATTTAGATTTATCATCAAGTTACAATCTCCATAACTTACCCTTTAGCCTTTGTCACCTTTCCAATTTGGAAACACTCTACTTGGACAATTCGCGAAATCTTAGAGCATTACTAGAACTTCCTCCTAGTTTGAAGAGTCTCTCTGCAAAAAACTGTGTCTCATTGAAAAGAATAGCAGATGTATCAAACTTGAAAAGGCTTAAATGGTTGTACATTCCCAACTGTGAAAGCCTGGTAGAGCTCCCTGGCCTGGAGAATCTTGAATCCTTAATAGAGCTTGACTTGACAAATTGCACTTCTTTGACTATTCTCTGCAACTATTTGCATGAAGTAGATCTTCCAATTTCTCTCAGGAGTTTGTCATCATTGAAAGAATTATATTTAACCCGAAGTTGCTCTCTTCGGTACTTTCCCTTTAGTTTCTGTCATCTATCGGGTTTGAAAAACCTCTACTTGGACGATTTGCATAATCTTAGAGCACTTCCACAACTTCCTCCTAGCTTGGAGTCTCTCTCTGCAAAAAATTGTGGGTCCTTGGAGAAAATAGCCGATATGTCAAACTTGAAAAGGCTCTATCATTTGTGGATTCCCAACTGCAATGGTTTGACTATTCCTTTCAACTATTTGCATGAAGTTCTTGGGAGTTTGTACTCATTGAAAGAGTTAGATTTAATGGGAAGTTGCTCTCCTAAAAGCTTACCCTTCAACCTTCGTTGTCTTTCTAATTTGAGAAGACTGTATCTGGACGATTGGCAGAATCTCAAAGTAATTCAAGAACTTCCTCCTAGTTTGGTGATACTCTCTGCAGGAAACTGTGGGTCATTGGAAAAAATAGTAGGTATATCAAACTTGAAAGGACTGGAACAATTGCATGTTCCCAACTGCAAACGGTTGGCTGAGCTTCCAGGTCTAGAGAACCTGGAATCCTTGCGAAATCTTGAGGTGACAAATTGCACTGCTTTGAGGATTCCTCTGATTGAAAACTGGTTGCAGGTTAGTTATGTTCCACTGATCTCTATCACTTTATGTCTCTCTATGATCATTTGGTGTTCAAATTAGATGGTATTGGTAATGCTTTTGGTATAGGAGTGTTTGAAAAATGTCTTATATATCAACTAAAGTCCAACTTATTTGACCAATTTTAGTTGTTTGTCTTTTGACTTTGCTTGAACTCCTTGATATTTGAAATATCATTCCTAGGACACCATTTGTCTAGGATGATTTCTCAGCATTGAGACTTGGACAAACATGCTTCTTCTGAACAATCATATAGAACTTGTCCAATCGAGTCAGACTTAACTCGCAGTCTCGGGTTCTGGTAACGAAAGATTGACCTTATCTTTCGTTATCTTTCCAGATCAAATGATCTTTCTTTATTATTTGATGTTTACACGAGAGATAGACCCTTCCGGATTTCAGTCTTAGTTGATCTCTCGGTTTTCTCATGATCTTCTCTTTTCTTCAACTAGTCATAGTTGACTAAGAATTGCTCTAATTCGTGTAAGTATTCTGCTGAGCACGAATCACAAGTTGAGCAAAAACAACTTTCGTCTAGCATGAAAGATGCAAGATAACGAGAATAAAAGAGGGGTCTATATTCCTAGTGAGTTTGGTATCATCAAAATCTAAGTACACTTGTTCCTAACAATGATTGCCAATATAATCATTTCCTATTACTGCACAAAAATATAGCATCTTAACAGTTATTATGAGTGTTTGAGAAATAGCTTTTTGACTTAGTTTATTGTTGTCACTTGTCAATAATAAGTTGAAAAATAAAAAGTTACATTGAATAGCTCATTGACATCAGCTTATTACATATTTGTTTTAAATGTCTAATTTATCCTTAATAGTTGTTGGTTATTGTAATATTTACATGTATTCAATCTTTATTCAAATTTATATTTTTAATATCACCAGAAACACCTAAAGCATGACATATAACTAAATTGATTCCATTATGTTGAATTATTATTAACAATTTTTGTTTTTTTTTTCTATTTTTTAAAAAATTATATTTTTAATATTGGATAATCATGTACTAAGGGATTTTTTTTTTATAGGAATAAGGGTCAAATATTCCATCGAACTACAAACAAAATTGCAATTGGGCTATCCAACTTAAAAAATGCAATTGAACATAAAGTGACCTGTTGACTTGATAGTCGCTGACATGGCGATTACCAGTGTAAAAAAAAATTAATTTTTACAATTTTATTTTTTAAAAAAAATATCCAAACTCCCCTTGGTCTCCGAATTCAGTTTTCCCAGTATCTGAATCTGTTCGTCTTTCTCCCTCACTTTCTTCATAACATATTCTCCAATGGCGGCCACCAAAATTCTGGCTTCTTGCTTCTGCCTCTCTTCCAATTTCATTCTCAATTTCTTCATCTATAAATAAACAAAACAAAGATCAGAACAACTCAATCCAACAAAAAAATAATATAATAAAATAAAATCCCAAGAATAGCACACAAAAAAATCTGAAAAAAAATGCATACAAACAATCCGATCAATTTCATATTGATATTGCTGCAAGAGCGGCGCCACATCTTCAGCGGAGGTGATAAACTGATTCTCTCTACTTCGCTTTGTCGAAACCTCCGGCGGGAGATTATACGAAAGCCCACTCTCAGTATTGATTGACGTTTCTCCTGGACAGGCTCACAAAATAGAGATCGATTCAACCGCAAAAAACTCTCCGGCACTAGCACAGTACTCCTGTAAGGGATCCCGGAACCCATTTGGGCATTGTATCAAACCCGAAACCATTTTCTTTCGCCGAACTCACAAAGTCACTGAACTTGTCTTCGTCTTCGTCGGAGAAAAGAGGAGCAGGCGGAGAAGAAGTTTTTTTTTTTTTTTTTTTTTTTTCTAAGTATTAAAATTAATTTTAAAAATTAATTTTTTTAATCTGGTAACTGCCATGTCAGCGAATTTCAGGTCAATAGGTTATTTTAGACTCAATTGCATTTTTTTGTATTGATCAGGGACCGACTATAGTTTTTTTAAGTTGGATGGCCTAATTGCAACTTCGTGTGTAGTTCAATGGCCTATTTAACCCATATTCCTTTTTTTTTTTTTTTTTAATTATAACATTATTAGTAATAAAACAACAAACAATAGTTAAAATATACTGGAGTAATTAACAATAACAATAATAATGACAATAAATTGTAGAAGTATTTTAAGAGTTAAGTAAATATCAAATATTTATGCCCTTGTAGATTATTTTATATGTAATTAACTAATAACTAATTTTACCAAACATATTTTACAATGTCAAACCAGCTAACTTAATCAGCTAACTCAATAAGCTATCAATTATATATCCGCTAACTGTTATATGGAATCCCACAATGCAGGCATGTTGTGAAGGTGACAGTGTCAAGATTTCGGTTGGAGTAACTGATAGGAATGTCATTTGCATTCTTCCAACGTTTTCGAAGTATAGATTCGTCTATATGCATTCGGATGGCTTTCATTTTGGTGACTGCAATGGAGTTCGCATAGCTACCAGAAGCAAAACCAGTGGTGCCTCAGCTTGGGTTGGAGATGAAGAATTGGAATGCAGTGTGGATCAGAAGAGGAAGTATGGAAGAGTTGATTTTGAGGTGGCAGTAATGGTGGGGGAAGTAGTGGAGGTGTTTGCAGAATTCCATCATTTGCATACACTTTTTTTATTTGAAATGCACAGAAACAGTGATGGACAACTGCGCTTCTTTCCATCCACAAGGCCTTTGCTGCAATTTGATCAACCTCAACTACAACTGGGAGAGTAGCATCATGTTTGGGGTTAGCAACAACTAACCATCAACTCTGGGGTGACGAGGAAAACTCGCAGATACTATCTGATGGTGTGTTAAATTTTATAAGACGGGTTGAACCAAAAGGGTGTTCGCAATAATCAATTAAACTAGTGGTCTTCTCGTAGAAGAATCATGCAATGCTTCATCCGGCTCAACAATGTAAAGGGCCCAATCTAGCTTCAAAGCTCATAGTACTTGCACAAATTGCTATGTTTTCGGTTTTCCTGCATTCAAGACTCAAAAGGTTTGGTTTTGTGGTTTTCTTGATTTCCCAGGATGTGGAATTAGCATCAGTATCAATGAGGGCGGTCCCCCTCGCGCCCTTGACAGAGAAACTCTCTCTTTCTGCGACGAATTATGGTTCAATCCCGAGATTTTATATCGAAACACAAGAAGATTTTGCCATCCCACTCCCACTCCAGGAGGCCATGATTCATTCAAATCCTCCTCAGCAAGTTTTCCTGCTCAAAGGCTCTGATCATTCTCCTTTTCTGTCAAGCCCTCAGGCTTTGCACAAGATTTTGGTAGAGATATCACACATTTTGCCAAAATGAATGCCCACTGCTACCCAAAGTTTTGACTCTGGGAAAATACCCAATTTTCAACTATCCAAAAGTGATTGAAAACATAAGATTTTTAGCCCGAGGCAATAGTGCAACACTAAGGTGACATGCATGCGAGAGCCACATGGGCTTTTGAAAAAAAAAAAAAAAAAAGATCCATCCTAACAATATGGATGTGGATTCAGTCCACTATAGTAATATTTGAGTGGACTTTTGAAATAATATGATTTATCATGTGTTATTTATTTATTCTGTTCTTTTTTAAATTTTAACATATGATATTGTAAAGCTTTTCATAAAGAAATTGTTTTTTTTCGACATCTTCATATTTATTTGATTTAATTAATTCGAGTTAATACCCAAAATCATCCTCGACTATAGTGGTTTTTCTCAATTTCGTCCTAAACGACTTTGGTGACTTAATATCGTCCCAGACTTTTGTGGGACGCGAGTAGGAGCACGCGATTCCAACCTGGCCGGAATGATGAGGACTTGCGGGTTGAACTAAATTTCCTACAGGAAAGGAGGGAGGTAGCCGGATGAAAGATTGCTATTTATCAACAAGCAATTAAACGCTACCACGACGCAAGGACATGCCCCCGCAATTTCCAGGTCGGCGACCTAGTCCTACGACGACGAGAAGCCAGCAAACCACTTCAGCGAAGCAAGCTGGCCAAGAATTGGGAGGGGCCGTATGAAGTGGCGGAGTCTATGCACAAAAACACTTACAAACTCAAAACAATGCAGGGTAGGACCGTGGACCGCGTATGGAACGCCCACCACCTGCGAAGGTTCTTTCAGTAAATAGAGTAGCTCGAGGAATGACAAACGCCCACCACCTGCGAAGGTTCTTTCAGTAAATAGAGTAGCTCGAGGAATGACAAATAACGCGACTCCCATGACATTACCGTGGTATGTTGCATCGTAAGTGACTTATATTTCCCTTGTAGACGACATTGTGTCGCATGTCAATAATATCCGTGATTTTCACACATTGCATTGAGTGTTACAGACATCTGGCGAATGGGGCATGTGGGTTATCGCAACCCACATGCGCGGACTTGCCCCCGGCAAGCCGCATGTAGTTGGCGGATGGGGCATGTGGGTTATCGCAACCCACATGCGCGGACTTGCCCCCGGCAAGCCGCATGCAGTTGGCGGATGGGGCATGTGGGTTATCGCAACCCACATGCGCGGACTTGCCCCCGGCAAGTCGCATGCAGTTGGCGAATGGGGCATGTGGGTTATCGCAACCCACATGCGCGGACTTGCCCCCGGCAAGCCGCATGCAGTTGACGGATGGGGCATGTGGGTTATCGCAACCCACATGCGCGGACTTGCCCCCGGCAAGCTGCATGCAGTTGGCGGATGGGGCATGTGGGTTATCGCAACCCACATGCGCGGACTTGCCCCCTGCAAGCCGCATGCAGTTGGCGGATGGGGCATGTGGGTTATCGCAACCCACATGCGCGGACTTGCCCCCGGCAAGTCGCATGCAGTTGGCGAATGGGGCATGTGGGTTATCGCAACCCACATGCGCGGACTTGCCCCCGGCAAGCCGCATGCAGTTGACGGATGGGGCATGTGGGTTATCGCAACCCACATGCGCGGACTTGCCCCCGGCAAGCTGCATGCAGTTGGCGGATGGGGCATGTGAGTTATCGCAACCCACATGCGCGGACTTGCCCCCTGCAAGCCGCATGCAGTTGGCGGGTGGGGAATGTGGGTTATCGCAACCCACATGTGCGGCCTTGCCCCCGGCAAGCCGCATGCAGTTGGCGGATGGGGCATGTGGGTTATCGCAACCCACATGCGCGGACTTGCCCCCGGCAAGCCGCATGCAGTTGGCGGATAGGGCATGTGGGTTATCGCAACCCACATGCGCGGACTTGCTCCCGGCAAGCCGCATGCAGTTGGCGGCATATTGCATGGCACAAAAAAAAAAAAAAAAAAAAAAAAAAAAAAAAGAGGGAACGAAACTAGATTACCACTATATTATTAAGGCTGCCGAAATATTCGAAATTACAAAAAAAAAAAAAAAAAAAAAAAAAAAAGAGGGAACGAAACTAGATTACCACTAGATTATTAAGGTTGCCGAAATATTCGAAATTACAAAAAAAAAAAAAAAAAAAAAAAAAAAAAAAAAAAACCGCTACCTACGCCTAAAGACTATGGGGCTGCAGAAGCAGCAGCCGAACTAGAAAATCCGGAGCCTGAGTTGATATTGAGATGAAGATCGGAAGGGTCTACACTCCCGACAATACCAGATCCGCCCACAGGTTCTGAGGGAGCCGCAACAGACGACGTCACACCGTGTTGGGCCGCCTCGGGAGTTGGGCCGCCTCGGGAGTCATAAGCACATCGCCGCCAGCGGGCGTAGTAGACGAAGGAGTGGCCCGAGCTCGAGTAGGTCGAAGAGGAAGGACGCCTGGCAGTTTCCACCCTTCAATACTGAAAGAGGTAAATTGACGTTCCAGCTTCCCGTAAAGCTTATCCTGCATATCTCGTTGCCCCATGTAGAACGCCGCATTGCATTCCTGCACCAACCTGGTTTGACCTTCTAGCGTCTCGCGCAACCACACCTCCGCTACCGGCCCCATGGCCACCCTGCCCCCGGGGGTAGTGGCCCATTCCTGGAGGACTTGTACCAGTGGAGGGCCCGTATAATCCCGGTACTCCTGCACAGACTGCCACCCTAACATGGCCTCGACCATGCCTTCGCCAGAACGATCCGAATGCCCCAACCACCAGCGGATCAGCCCAGGCATACGTGCGCACGAATATTCACTAGCAGCACGCGCAAAATCTTCAGTCCTTTGCCAGTCCTCCACGGCACCCTCAAGGGCCTTGTCATGATCTAGTCGTTGTCTTTTATGTTCCTCCTGCAAAGTTTTGTGTTCCCCCTGCAAGACCTGGTGCTCTTCCCCCAAAGTTTTATGCTTCTCCTGGAGGACCTGATGCTCCTTTCCAAAAGTTCTATGTTCCTCCTGGAGGACCTGGTGCTTTTCCCCCAGAATTCGGTGATCCTCCCGAAGGGCCTGTTGCTTATCTCCCAAGGAGTGATACTCTTGCTGCAGGGTCTGGTGCACTTCCCTCAAGGTTTTTAATTCTCTCATGACGCGCCTACGAGCCTCCTCCTCTTCCCGGAGAGTATGCTCCAAACCCTGTTGTGTCTTTTCTAACACGGCATACTCTCGAGAGGCCTCCTGCAGGTGCTGATGAATCCCGATGGATTGCATAACCATCTGCATACAATAGGGAACCACAGGATACACACATTTAAAAAAAAAAAAAAAAAAAAAAGAGAGGGACCACTCACGTTCATGGAATCTCCAACTTGGCGGGAACTCAAGGTCTCCATCGGAGTACTATCAATCCAGAAGCGCCGATGGGCTGGTACCATATCTCGCACTCCACGAACAATGAAGTCCACATGATTAGGATCGTAAGGACGAAGACGAGGGCGGCCTGGGCCGGTCGAAATCCGAGCAGCTAGAGGATCCCGAGCATCATACTCACCGGTAGGGCTGGGCGTAGACTGCGGTGCGGCTAGAGAAGGCCCACGAGAAGGGGAGTCCACAGCTTGGAAAGGAGTGACGGGGGAGAAATGGGCAGGCGAAAACTGTATGTTGGAATCCACCCCGTCCATGACAGGGTCATCCATAAGTCCCACCGACGATGCCCCGTCATCGTCATCCTCAGCATCATCACCAGAAGCGGCTTCCGAAATAGGAGCCCGCCGTCGCTTACGAGTCTGGTAGGCCTTAAGCATTTGGGGAGTACTCTCTACAGGAGCTGGGCACAGCGGATACAACCATCAGTACGTATAAAAATAAAAATAAAATAAAATAAAAACAGATATGTACGTCCCAAAAAGAAAAAACAAATATGTACGTCAAAAAAAAAGATATATATATATATATATATATATATATATATATATATATATATATATATATAAACGTACCTAGAGGCGGACCGGTGCTAAGTTGGTGGAGCCGAGAGGGCTCATGGTACCTACGGTGATCATGGGGACCATCGGCGCACAGTCGCGCCCTGTCATCATCCAGACCCGAATAGCCGGGGGGCGTATAGAGAGGAGGGCGCTGCACCCACACGTTACTAAACCCCAGCCTAGAATCACCAGTGGGATAACGAAGGTATACAAACTTCTCTTTCCAATTTTTTGGAAGAGAGGGTAGGGAGGTCACGAGGGGGTGATTAGAGACAGGTTGAAGGTGGAGGAAAGATGACCGACTCTGGCTCACGTTGAAAACATGTAGAAGTAAAGACAGGGAAGGTGCTACCTGGATTTCTCGACACCGGGTGATAAAACATGTGATAAAGCGATAACCATTCGGAGTCATTTGACAGGGCGCTATCCCATGGCATTCAAGGAACGTTTGGACCAGAGGATGAGGGGGAAACTGAAGGCCTGCCTGGATTGAGTGATAATGCACGGCCACCTTATCAGCCGATGGGGGATCGGTCATGGTCCGGTCCTCCCCGGGCACGGTAATTTCAACATTTGGGCCCAACCAACCGTCCAAACAATCAA